ATATATATATATATATATATATATATATATAGAGAGAGAGAGAGAGAGAGAGAGAGAGAGAGAGATGTTCTTTCTGAGTTTCATACAAATAACTTGCCAATAAAGTAGATAATCTGCAATAACTTACCTAAGTAAATAGATGATTTTGTATAATTGATTCAGCATGCTTCAGCTAGTTTATTAGCGATTTCTGTTGCTACATGATTGATGCAGCATGTTTCAGCTAGTTTATCAGCAAATTCTGTTACTATATGAGTTCTTCTTTGGGATGCCTCCCTGTTATCTATTATGCATGGATGCTTCGTAATAGCTGCCAAAATCCTGATGGGTTTTTTGAAAACCTTTGGAAAATGACCATGGATTGATGGTGAAGCTGTGACCACACCTGTATCCGTGCATCATACCTGTTGAAAATGGCAAGTCATCCAGTGGTTTTACAAATAACAAACCACATTCGGGCTGCAGTTTCACAATGAATTCTCTAATGAAATGGCTATTTTTTTTATTTTTACTTTTAGTAACATTTTTTACTGCAAAACTGTATTCTGTACAATTGTGGGCTTTAAGCTGGTAAGACAACAAAACAATGGGGTATCGAGAGACAAAATTGTGTGTTCTTTTTGTCATATGAAATTTGGGAGACTAATGAAATAGGTATAAAAGAGTGTGGTGGTAGGCGTAGTGCTTACTCTGTTTGGTTCGTGCAAGGGGTATCACTGATGACAGGCATGCAGCATTTCTTGGTTAACTCATCCGCAAGGGTGTTACCTTCTACAAAGTCTATTGGTAAGTAATTTGAGAGAGGATGTCATGGATTTTGTTGAATGCTTGGTGCAGTCTCCATGGGCAAGTTGTCTCATGCAGGCTCATGTTATGGTGTTCGCTGAATCGCTCTGGATGAGCAAGTTGTCATCCCATTGGCTGTAGAAGTTTTTGAGAACAGCCAGAAGTTCCCAGGTTTCGGCGAAGTTTGCATCTCCATGGCCTGCAGGGAGTGAAAATGTTTAGGAGGATATGTCCCTGGCTGTTTGAGTATATACTTCCCTAATTCCACTGGGTCCTGGGTTTCCTTTTGAATCAACATTGAAATTAAATTTGTTTGTTCCAATTGTCTTGGGGAAATGTGGGGTTGCGTGTGGTGGACAAAACAATGTCATTCCATTCAGCTGGGAACATGACTGTCAAGAAACTGACTAGATGATAAATCTTGAAATCAGACTGGATGCCTGCTTTTTGAGCAACAAACTGCCTAGGGAAGCAAACACTAGCCAGACTTGATACATATTTTGTATTAAAAACCGTGACAGTCCAGGTTCCTTCATCCATGGGAATCTGCTGGTTTATATCAACTGGTAATGATACATAAGGGTAGTAGTCATATCAAGAATGAACACATGCATCTGACTTGGATAATTATTCTGCATTACCGTAGTTTCATGTGCAATTCTATCTCACTTGAATGGCCTATTAAATTTGGACCCTGTTCTGACTCTTTTCTTAGTGTTCATTGTCTTTTATTGCATGATCTTCGAACTTGATTATCCATTGAACAACCTGGTATATTGGCCACTTTGCCATAGAAAATTGGAATTCCCTTTGATCCTCCGGAGGAAAAGAATTGTCCTACTACAAACTAGGCTTATCATAGATAATCTAGGTGTGGATGTGATAGCATTTTTTTTTTCAGCCAATTTGAAAGCTCTGAGAAATTTTTTACAACGTTCTTCAATGTGCTAATGTACCAGTTTTCTTCCCTGCAGATACCCACGTCTATGGTGAAGGACCCTCATGACTTGGAGTTATGGCTAAAGGTTATCATCCCAAGTCATGTCGTTGTTTTCTGTATTTTTCTTTTCTCTAATTCATTGGCATATTTCCTTGCTCCTTATGTTTCTTTCATTATTGTATTATATATGAGTTGACAAGAAGGGATTACGCAGGTAGATGGTGAAACCCGACAAAAGGGTTCAACCAAAGATATGATGTTTAAGATCCCATTCCTTATCAGTCATATAAGCTCTATTATGACTCTTTTTGAAGGAGACGTCATACTGACTGGTAATGGCTTGAATTTTTCAGCATTTTTCTACCAACTTACTTGACGTCGATCTTTTTTTGTTTTCTGCCATTTTTGACCATTGAAAGCTCCATATGATAAAATAAAACGAGAAAATACTGAAAAGTTTCTTCGAACTTTATATTACAAAAATTAATCAGTTAATTACTTTGAATTGATTATTTACTAGGTACTCCACCAGGAGTTGGTCCTGTAAAGGCAGGACAGAAGATAACAGCAGGTATAACAGGCCTGGTTGAGGTCCAGTTTGATGTTCAGAAGCGCCAGCGACCAAACAGTTCTTAAATACATCAAAACAATCAAAATGATTTCTGCCACCGAAACTCCTCTTCCTATTCCAATCGAGACCTGATGATTTGAAACTCCGCAATTCAATGCTGAAGGCTCCCAAATATGTATTTCTGATTATAATATTATGCAGATTGGACAATTGTGTTTGTGCATGAACATGTGCGTGCCCGTGCGTATGTTGATTGCTGATGGGCTCATGTGGATAGTTCTCCAATGCACACACATTTCATCATGCAAAGCCAGCCAAAAGATAAGGGCGTATGTTGATTGCTGATGGGCTCATGTGGATAGTTCTCCAATGCACACACATTTCATAATGCAAAGCCAGCCAAAAGATAAGGGAAAATATTTCATCCACGCACCATTGGGTGGATGCTACATAGGTCAATCGTCCCCTATTTTGACCCCTGAGGGCATTTCTTCCCCTCTTTAAGGAGCCCATGAAGAAACATTTTGTAAAAGATCCTTAAAAATTGTTTTTAATGGTTCAAGAAGTGCAGGTTATCTATTTCATAGGCGGTTATATCTAGCCCTTTAGAGATTCTTTCTTTCTAAAAAAGGAGTTACATTTGGAATATTTATGGGCATATTTCATAGGAGTATGAGCCTACATCTCCGTTAAAAATAAGAACTGAATGTATGTGACCAACCTCCGTAATGAATTCCGTAAGACATGTTTGATTCGTAAGTTTTGTGGTGGTTTTCATGAGAGGTCATGGACACCACCGCATGCATCACTTAATTTTATTTTGGAAATTGTGGCTACCAAAAAAGCATGGAACTACCCTTTTTCACAATGGAAAGTAGTATGGTCAGGAATGGGCTCAATGTTAGGTAGTCAATGTGGCAAGGAGTCTAATGTGACGTTTTGAGTTTCATTTTTATTATAGATAATAAATTTTATTTCCCATCAAATTATCACTACCTCCTCCAAAGAAAAAAAAGAAAAAGAAAAAAAAAAAGTTACAACCGTTTTGGAAGCCTCAAACTTACTAATAAAATAAAAAAAAAGAAAAAAAAAAAGAAATAAAAAAGAAAAAAAAAAAGGAAGCTCACTGTTTTGGAAGCCTCAACTTCCATTGCTAAAATGGGACTGTGATACATATGGGAAGTGATATATATATTAGACACATGCGTAATGATCATGTATATTTTCAATACACGATATAAGAGTTTTTTATCCTTTGTTTCCTTCAAATTTCCTTTTTACCCCATTTCTCTCTCACCCTCTTGTATCTTGAGAGTGCATCTAAATAACAAATCTCTTGCTCTCTCTCTCTACATATCTTCTCCTAAAAGCCTATATACCTCTCATCTCTCTTCTCTCTCTTTCTTTCTCATCGGATCTCTCTCTCCCTGCTGAACTGAATCTCTTGGTCTCTATATTTTCCTAAAAACCCATATCTATTCTTTCTCTTTCTCATCAGATCTCTCTCTCCCCGCTGGCCCTCACTAGAAAGCCATATTCTCCCTCTGTATCTCCCACTACCCATAAAAACCTGCAAGTCCCTCTCTTCTCTCTTTCTCACTTTATCATCAAACCTCTCTCTAGAAAGCCAAATTAAAGAAATTTAAACCATTGTTGTACTCTTTGAGACTAGCCATGAATCATGCAAAAACCGAAGGAAAAAATCACATAAAAGAGCAAAGTGTGCTTGAAACCCAAATTGTTAACAGATGCATAAGTATCCACTTCATCCAAAAAGCGAAATCCTCTGGTATTTGCAGAGAATGAAAGTACACAGACGCAATAAGATATGTATAGAACCAGTCCTTTTGTGGTGACATATGATTCAGTTCCAGTAAGAGAGAGAGTAGGGTGATGGAATGGCAAAATATAGAAAGAGAAGATGTGAGATAGATGGAGAGAGGTGTTCATGGAAAAATGAAGAGTGAGGAATAGTGACATTTCAAAGAGAGGTTTCAGGCTTCACAAATTAGTGGGCTTTGAGATCTTTCGGTTTGTAAAATGGATGGCCTACAAGTCCAATGCACCTCAACACCACGTATTGAAAATACACATGATCATTCCCTTTACACCGTGTATTGAAAATACACATGATCATTTCCTTATTTTCTAGAGTTGAATAGCAAGATTTAAGAAAATTTAATATCTTTGGACAGATGCATATTGTGATACAATGGTTGTGGGGCTTTGGCTACGAAAGAAGCCGCCAAGATTCCAACTCATTAATCACATTCCTATCATTTTTCCATATTTTTTTGTGGTTACACGAATTCGGGTGAGGTTTATATAAGGCCTTCATGTTAAATAATTAAAATAAGGTGAACCTTTAAGCTGTCCGAAGATGTAATTTTAGTGTATAATTTTTTACAAAAACCCGAAATCTTTTTCGTCCCCAATTATAAATTTCAATTTCTAAAAATGGTACAATTCAAACACATTTGTGAACTTGAAAATCTTGAAAATGGATGGTCTAGATAATGTGTTATAAGATGAATTATTTTTTGGACTTGAAACCTACTTTTTTCCATATTCATATTCTCAACGTCAAGATGATCAACCGGAGGGCCTTCCATTGCTAAGGACCTTTTCTAATGAATTTCCAATGTGCAACTTACTTCAACATTCACACCTTATGTGAACCTTTTTTTTTTATTATTATCAAATTAATGCCCCATTTGAATGTTGTCTCTGAGTGCCAACTTCGCTCTCTAATGCGTGGAAACTTTTATAAGTTGTTTGATGTTGTGATCCTGATCTTGATGAATGAAAGAGCAACATGGGAAATCATTAACGATGGTCTAGATAATTTTGAAAATGGATGGTCTAAACAATCTAGAAAATTGATGGTCTAGATAATATGTTACAAGATGCTTTATTTTTAAGATTTAAAGTATGTTTTTTTTTCTATATTCATATTCTTAATATCAAGATGATCAACTGGAGGTTTTCTAGGGCTGAGAACCTTTTATAACGAATTTTTAAGGTGCAACTTACATCAGCATTGACAACTTATGTGAACTCTTTTTTTTCAAATTAAGGCACAATGGATTTAATATTGATTAGGATTTCTTAAGGCACAAGTTAGATTTGAAGGTTATTTTCTTCTATAAATATACAGCTATTGGACTAAAAGAAAAACAGAGTGAGAAGAGAAGAATTTATTTCGGTCTAAGATCTTTTTTGGGTTGGCTCAATCGCAGAGATTTTTTTTGGGTTGGCTCACTTGCAGAGAAGAGAAGAATTTATTTCGGTCTAAGATCTTTTTTGTAGTTTTCGAATTTATTTGTTTTCTTTCCCTTCTTCTCCCTACATCTAGCATCAAAGCCTTGAGGTCCATGTACCATGATTGAAGCACAAACATCTACCACTCCTGTTCTATAGCTTGTGGATCAAATAATTGAGGGAGTCAAAAAAGAGTTAATAGGATGACTTGACAAACTAATGCAAACAAGTGCTACAAGATCTACTTAGTGGATTGCAATATAAGGAACGAGAATATAAAAAGGTGGAAGATAAAAAATCAACCACCAATTCAAACATTAATCACACGCCATGGCTCACTTTAGAAGTTGATTTCATTGTAAGGCATAATACAAGTAGTGGAAGGTAAAAGGGACTTGGGCATCCTAATTGATTTTTCCAGCATATCACAAACTTTGGCGGTTTAAATCCAAAAATTAAGAGTTCAACACGAAAAATATAAAAATTTTTAGTTGGAACAAAGTGGAGAAGACATGAAATGAGAATCTTCCAATTACTTAATCTCAAGATCGAGCTTGCCCCCAGCCCTCGGAAAATGATCTAATGGTATTTTAATTTTTATTTTACTGTTTTTAAATTAAGTTTTAGGTTTAAAGAATAATAATAATAATAATGGGTGGGAACCATGCCATTTGGCTTTTCCAGAACACCGGGTTCCATAACAAACTGGCATTATTCTCTTACGGAATCTGGCAAATCCGTTTGAGTTGGACTGATTCTAGGTTCAGACAAAGAACATAGTCAGTAGGGATATTCTAAATCCGAATTGGCGAATCCAGACCAGTGGATTTGAAATCACTAGTTTAGCAAAAGGCTGTTGTTTGCAATTCTATAAAATTTAAACTAAAAAATTGGTGCAAAGCAAGCAATTCTATAAACGTTTTAAAATCTTGAAATGGGTAGCTTGCAGATAATATGTTACAAGATGCACTATTTTTAATATTTAAAATCCTTATTTGAATCCATTTATGTGTAGCTCCAATTTAAGATGATCAATTCGAGGATATTTTAACCTTTTTTTATGAGTTTTTAAAATGCATTTTACTTAGTTTATGCCTTGTATAAACCTTTTCCTGGCGAAAAGATTCTGATGTGGTAAAGAAGGTTTCAATGATAGATGTCATATTGATATAATGGCTCGTATGACCATAGCTGCAAGAAAGCATAAAATATAGTTTGCACAAATAAATAACGGTGTTTTTTAGGAAATTGTTTCATACGGGCTGGACCGCATTTCTACATTTGCGGTCCAGAAAGTGTTAAGTGTCCATCTTAGTAGGTGTTCCATCTAAAAAGAATAGAAAATGACGGTCCAAATGTTTTCTTATTAGAATTATTTTTTCTAGTTTTTTAAATTTATTTATTTATTCATATTCATGATTTCCATGTTAGATATTACTTTTCCTTAAAAATTAAGTCTTAAAAATCCATCACAAAAATTAGATTTATTAAGAGGCCCGCGTTTCTATACATGCGGGCTTGGCCGCATGAAAACCGGGTTTTTTTTTTTTTTTTTCCGGTGAATCAGTGGGAATGACGGCTCCTATGAATAGTAGCCATTCTCTTCAGCTAACCGTCGTTATGTAGCGTTTTAGGGCATTGAGACATCTGATTTGCTTTCTAAAGTCATTAACTAGTGATTGAAAGCATAAATAACTGCCACTGCTTTTTGGACATGGCAGGCTTTCTATGCTTCTCCTACAATATACAACTTGTATATTTCTCCTTATCCAACTGTCCATTCCGAATTGAGGGCAATATAATCACAATGTCACATCTCTACACTATCTTATTTTTAATTTTTTTCTATAAACTATTTTGACACCAAATTTTGGATGTACAATTCTCTATTAAACTCACACTATAGAAAAATATAAAAAAATATTTTCAATTAAATAAAATGACCAAAATACCCTTGAAAGGTTCAAGGGGCATTTTGGTCATTATATTTTATAGAATAATTATTTTTAATATATTTTATTGGTGTGCCCCAATGAGAAGATGACACGTACCAAATTTCATATTCATACATTTTTTTTA